ATGCCCATTGGTATGTCACCTTTTCGGTTGGTGCTTGGGAAAGCATGCCATCTTCCAGTTGAGTTAGAACACAAGGCTTTTTGGGCAATCAAGAGTTTTAACATGGAGATGGATGAAAGTGGAGAACACAGGAAGTTGCTACTACAAGAGTTAGAGGAAATTTGCAATGATGCCTATGAGAATGCAAGGATTTGCAAGGAAAAGACGAAGGCTTTTCATGACAGGATGATCTCTAGGAAAGAGTTTAAAGTTGGTCAAAAAGTCCTTCTATATAATTCACAACTTCGTTTGTTTCCAGGTAAGTTGCGTTCTCGTTGGATTGGACCTTTTGTTGTTACTAATATTTTTCCTCATGGTGTAGTTGAAATTTAAAGTTTAGTTACTTCGAAAGTGTTCAAGGTGAATGGCCATAGACTTAAGACTTTCTATGAAGGTCTCCAAGAAGAAAATGTGGCAGGATTGGACCTTGAGGATCCAACTTATTCAGATTGAAGAAGACAGCCTTGAGTCAAGCCAACAACAATAAACAAAAGCACTGCTTGGGAGGCAACCCAAGGGGAGTTTATTTTCTTATTCTAGCATTTTAAATTTTGGTTATTTTTGCCTTTTCTTTGCATTTTATCTTACATTGGGGACAATTTTAGTTTTAAGTGTGGGGGAGGGGATTTAGGTTGTGTTTTAATTTATGTTCTAATAAAAAATAAAAATAAAAAAAGAGAGAGAGAGAAAAAAAAATAGTTTTTTTGTTTTTAGGAAGGTTTTTGCTTTAAGTCATGTCTTTGAACATCTACTGATGCATGAAATAGTAACTTGATGTTGCTTTTGAGCATACTCCTTGACTTAGGATGTTAGCAATATTTCATAAGATAGAGTTAATCAGATTTGAATCTTTGTAGTCTTGAAACAATATGTCTTGATAAGTTGTGTGGACTTGGCGACGAAGCATGATTGAGGAGTGTATAACAACCCTTAGAAAAAAGAAAAAATTGTTTCTCTTAAGCTAGTCCTAAATTTGGGTTTAAGCAAATAGGAAAAAGAAAAGAAAGGTATGTGGTGAGTCAAGAGGGAGCGTAAAACGCACTCACTCATAAACACAACCATGAAATGAGATGGAGCATAAAATGCACTCATTCTTTTTCAAAACAGAAAAAAAAAAAAGAGAAAAAAAAAAAAGAAAAAATTTATCCCTAGTTTGCTACCCAGTTTGTAGTAGTAAAGAAAAACAGTTGAGGAAAAGTTGAGAGGGGAGTTGTACATGAATTGGTTGTGATTAGTTTCCTTGTTTGCATTGATTGATTGAGAGTAATTGTGGAAAATGATGAAGAGAGATGAATGTCATTAACTCTACTTTATTTGATTTTGCTACTTCCTAAGTTAGGTACGAATATGCATGGATTAAATATTGTTACTTATGCATCATGATGGTGTTCTTGATATGACTTGAGATGATGGTGTTCTTGATATGACTTTAGTGTAGTGTTTGTTTGAATTAGTTTGCCTGAGGACGTGCAAAAGCTAAGTGCAGGGGAATTTGATGGGAATGCAAAATGTTATATTTACCCCCCTTAATGTTTAGTCTTTTATACGTATTTGTTGCCTAATTGTACTCATTATTATTCTATTTTGATTTAGGATGCAAATGGAGGCGTTAATTGCAAAACGGAACTAATTAGGTAAATTCGGACAGTTTCGACACTGCATCGTAATCTGGGCATAACTCTCTCATCTGAAGTCCGATTGAGATTATTCAAAATGCTGTGGAACACTAAGAAAGAGATCTACATCGTTCATGTTTTGATTTTGGAGAGATATGGTGTGTTGTCATAGGCACCCAGAATTAAATCCTTTCGAACCTAACTACTGAACTGTAAATAGGGTAAGCAAGGGTCGATCCCACGAAGAGTGTCTAGCCGAATTTTCTTTGATCTAAATAAGGCTAGGGGGTTTTGAGTAAAACAAAAAACAATTTTAGCAAAAACAAAAAAAAAAAAAAAAACAATTCAATTCGAAATCAATTAATATAACGAAACTTGGTCTCCGGCAACGTCCACCATCGGAACCTTATAACTGATCATTGATGCAAAAGTATATCAATTCTTACTCTGAATATTCACCGTTGGAATTATTTTCCTCTCTCTCCTTAATTGTAATTAATTAGGCAACAAACGTTCTTAATTAATCTTACCACTAAACAACCCTAGACAAGCGCTCAAGATTTAATCTAGTGGCATCCTTAAGAATTAGAGAGATCGATGAAGCTAAACAACACAAACTCAAGCGGTTGTATTTAATTTAGTTGAATGTTCTTCTTAAGATTACTAATTCCTGACGCAGCAAATTATTAACCCTAATTGCTTCACAAGTTAAAGGGATCAAACAATTACGGATTTGATATCTAACTTAGCAGTAGATTGTAACAAATAATAACCTAGTAGGCCTCCTAGCAATTAAATGCATCAATCACGAAAATATGCACAGAATAACATCCAATACTCAAAGCATAAGATTGAACACTGAAATAAAACGGATTAGATCTCACAGTTATTGATTCCGAGGTCTCCGTTTCCTTCGACTAAGTTATAAAAATTAGCCTCTCATGGCCATCACGAAATTACAGAGGAAAAGTTACCGAGAGAACAAGAGAGAGGCGTCTTTGATATCTTCCCAAAACCTAATCTGCTCCCCTTCACAAAAATCCAATTTAAGTATTTGAATCCCACTAAATCTCCTAAAAGAAATATTCTAATATCCTAAAATCACTTATCCTAATCTAATTCTCATTTAATTGAAAATACAATAAAGTCCTAAAATAAAAATAGGAAAGTGATGTGTCCAGCTGTACTTCAGATCTTCCAATAATAAACTGCTCAATTGATTTGCATGACAAGGCAAAATGTTCCAGAACATCGGCAGTGCAGATGTGTTAACTTTAAGCCCGATTACTACCTTGATGCAGCGAGTATCTCTCCAAACTCAAAACATTAACGTTGTAGATCTCTTTCTTAGAATTCCACAACATTTTGAATCACCTAAATCGGAGCTCGGATGAGAGAGTTATGCCCAAAATACAAAACAATGTCAAAACTGTCTGAATTCACTTAATTAGTTCCGTTTTGCAATTAACGCTCCCATTTGTTTCCTAAGTCAAAGTAGAATAATAATCAGTACATTTTAGGCAGCAAATAGGTATAAAAGACTAGGCATTAAGGGGGCTAAATGTGACATTTTGCATTCTCATCAAGATACTCGCTGCATCAAGGTGGTAATCAGGCTTGAAGTTGATGCATCTGCACTGCCGACGTTCTAGAACATTTTGCCTTGTCATGCAAATCAATTGGGCAGTTTATTATTGGAAGATTTGAAGACATGTGGCACGCAAGTTACAGCTCAGAATCACCACTTTCCTATTTTATTTTAGGAATTTATCTTATTTTCAATTAATTAGAATCAAATTAGGATTAATGTTATTTTAGGATATTAGAATATTTCTTTTAGGAGATTTAGTGGAATTCAAATACTTAAACTGGATATTTTTTTTAAGGTGATCAGATTAGGTTTTTGGGAGACACACACGCCTCTCTCTGGTCTTCTCTATAACTTTTCCTTTGGAATTTTCGTGATGGCCATGAGAGGCTAATTTTATAACTTGGTCGAAGGAAAGGGAGACCTCGGAATCAATAACTGTGAGATCTAATCCGTTTTATTTCAGTGTTCAATTTTATGCTTTGAGTATTGGATGTTATTTTGTGCATATTTTTGTGATTGATGCATTTAATTACTAGGAGACCTACTAGTGTATTATTTGTAGCAATCTACTGTTAAGTTTGATATCAAATCCGTAATTGTTTGATCCCTCTAACTTATGAAGCAATTAGGGTTAATAATTTGTTGCGTCAGGAACTAGTAATCTTAAGAAGAACATTCAACTAAATTAAATACAACCGCTTGAGTTTGTGTTGTTTAGCTTCATCGATCTCTCTAATTCTTAAGGTTGCCACTAGATTAAATCTTGAGCACTTGTCTAGGTTTGTTTAGTGGTAAGATTAATTAAGATCGCTTGTTTCCTAATTAATTAGAATTAAGGAGAGATACGAAAATAGTTCCAACGGTGAATATTCGAAGTAAGAATTGATTTACTTTTGCATCAATGATCAATGGTAAGATTCCGATGGTGGATGTTGACGGAGACCAAGTTTCGTTATATTAATTGATTTCAAATTGAATTGTTTTTGCTAATATTGTTTTCTGTTTTACTCAAACCCCCCCAGCCTTATTCATATCATTGAAAATTCAGCTAGACACTTTTCGTGGGATCAACCCTTGCTTACCCTATTTACAGTTCAGTAGTTAGGTTAGGAAGGATTTTAATCTTGGTTGCCTACGACAGCACACCAATCCCTCTCCAGTACCAACAGGTCCTCTCTTTACCATGGAGCCTGTCACTGACACTCAGTTATCTCCAGATCCTTCAGACAATACATCATATTCTCTCTCAGATGCTTCACTCACTCCTGAGTCTTCTCCATCTATCGATGACTCCTCTCCTACATCTCCTCTTGTGGCACCTAAACCTACCCAACAGCGGTCTACACGCTCCACTCGACCTCCCATTTGGACTGCTGATTATCTATGTCCTACCATACAAGCCATTTCAGGTACTCCTTATGCAACTCACAATTATGTCAGTTATGACTAGTTCTCTCCTACCAACAGGATTTGTGTTAGTCAGATCTCTGACAGCCATAAGCCCTCTAGTTACACTAGCGCTGTCCAATATGAACATTGGTGGCCCAAAACCATACATGGGATCTTGTCCCTCATCATCCACACAGAAATCCTATTGGTTGTAAATAGGTTTACAAGATCAAGCATCGAGCAGATGGTTCCATTGAACGATACAAAGCTCGCCTTGTGGCCAAAGGCTTCACTCAACGAGAAGACTTTGACTATCAGGACACTTTTTCTCCCGTTGCCAAACATGCCACCATTCGAGCCTTCCTTTCCTTTGCTGCCATTCGAGATTGGTCTCTCCACCAAATAGATGTCCATAATGCCTTTCTTCATGGTGATTTACATGAACAGATTTATATGGATCTACCTCTGGGAATTCGTCGATAAGGGGAGAATATTGTATGTCGTCTGCGAAAGTCCCTCCATGGTCTGAAACAAGCATCTCGACAATGGAACACAAAATTCACAAAAGCTCTTGTTGGCATAGGGTTTATTCAATCCAAACATGACTATTAACTATTCTCTTGGAAAAGAGGTAACTCATTTATCGCCCTTATTATCTATGTGGATGACATCCTAATCATAGGAAATGATGACGTGGCAATCAAGGCTCTAAAAGAGCATTTACATAGACATTTCCGCATAAAAGATTTGGGGGAGCTAAATTATTTCTTGGGAATTGAGATTGCAAGATCTGCGATAGGGATATCCTTTAGTCAACGAAAATATGTACTTGAGCTTGTATCAGACTCAAGATTATC